GCCAGGGTAAAACAGTCGTGCCTGGTCACATTCCATGTACTCACTGCAGTATCTCTGTGCAGTCATGGATGATGTCTGATTCTGGGTTAGGCAACAAGGTCACCATGTTGAGAAAAGTGCTTGGGAGGAACCTATTGTGAGGGAGATTGAGGAGCAAGGCCTGGTAGTGTGTCTACTGGGCGTTGGTCATCCACCAATCAGGAGGATTTTTGAGAACCCCCTCTATTAAATTGGGAGTAGTTATGGTTAGAGGTTGCTCCAGAATCAGTTTGTCAGTGTCCTTGACCAAGAGGGCTGTAGCTGTGATGATCCAGAGGCCATGGGAGCCAATCACTTGGATAAATAGGCCACAGGTTGCTTCCAAGGTCCAAGGAGTCAGGACCCCCTTAGTTACGCCTACTCTCTCAACTATGAATTGTTGGAAGGGCTTGTTTATGTCTGACAGAGATAAGGTGGGGGCCTTTAGCAGGGCTTCCTTTGTAGCTGTAAAGATCCCTTCTTGTGTCTCAATCCAGAGGAAGGACTCCTCAGTACTATGAGTGGCCTCATATAGGGGTTTGGCCACTTCAGCAAATCCTGGTATCCAGAGTTGGCAGAATCTGGCTGAGCCTAGAAATTCTCATATTTGCCTTTGGGTCTTAGGGGCCAAGATATCCAAGGTCTGTTTAGGGGCAGGTAGTAGCCATCTCTTACCTTCTTTTAGAATGTATCCCAGGCATGTAACTTCTGAGACACAGATCTGAGCCTTTTTAGCTGACACTTTATATCCCAGCTGATCTAAGACTTGCAGTAAGTCTTTAGTTGCCTGTAAACAAGAGCCTTGATCCTTGGAAGCAATCAAGAGATCATACACTTTAAAAAAAAAAAAAAGATCATGCACATATAGAAGGAGGCTTACTTCAGGGTGTGACGCTTGGTAGTTTCTCAAGTCTTCATGCAGGGCTTCATCAAAGATGGTTCAAAAGTTCCCAAATCCTTGGAGTAGGTGGGTCCAGGTGAGCTGCCTGCTGAAGTCCCGGCCTGGGTCATGCCTATCAAAGGCAAAGACAGGCTGACTCTTGGCTTCTAGGGTTAGGCTCTTGGCTTCCAGTGTCTTTTTTTTTTTTTTTTTTTTTTTTTTTGTCCAAGCCAGGGTTTCTCTGTGGTTTTGGGGCCTGTCCTGGAACTCACTCTGTATACCAGGCTGGCCTTGAACTCACAGAGATCTGCCTGTCTCTGCCTCCAGAGTGCTGGGATTAAAGGTGTGAGCCACCAATGCCAGGCTTTGAAGAAGGAGTATCTTTAAGGTCTGGAACTGAGTGAACTTGGAGCTATGGTGAGAGGAAGCTCGGGAGGGCATAGGGGTTGGGAACAGTTGAATGAATATCTTCAACCCATTTGTTAACATCCCTAAGGTCCTGCACCCACTGGTAATCACTGGTCCTGGCTTTTTGACTGACAGAAACAGGGTGTTCCATGGATACTGGCAAGGCACTAGAATTCTGTACTCCAGGAGCAGGTTGATGTGGTTAGTGATGCCGAGTTTGGCTTCTGGAGTCCTGGGACACTACCTTGCCTGGACCGGTTGTGTATTTACTTCTAAGGCAACTATGACTGGGGGCTGCTGGATTGCTAGCACTGGGGGGGTTGGTCTCTACCCATATTTCTGGGATAGAATGTTGGATAGAATGGGGTTTTAACCAGGAAAGTGGGGGTTGACCAGAAGATAACATCGGGCCACAATGTAGGGGACCTGGTCTGGATGGTCTGATGGTTAAAGCCATGTCCTGGTTCCTAAGAATAAGCTTAAGATCAAGGGAACCTTTAGGAGGCCATCCCGCTTGGAAGGCTGGCCACTCTGCTGAACAAATGACCCTAAGATGCCCCAGTTTCACACAGGTGGCAGAGAATGCTGCTGCATTCCTAAAGTCCTGAAAATGAGAAAGGATGAGGTCCAAGAGGGGCTTAGATTTAGAGGAAGTTTGACCCATGGTGGAAATTAATTCACAAGCAAGTACAAGAAGGAGACCAACACTAAATAAGACTAGGAGTAAACGAAAACAAGGAGACAAAAATTGGGCAGAAAGAAGGAAGAACGCTACAAAATGGGCTACATGGTCCTGAACCAGTCCCCATGGGCTGCAAATGAATGACCCAACAGTCATAGGAGGAGTTGAGGTGTCCCCTGTTCCCTTCAGGCTCAGAGATCAACGGTATGTTCGCCTGCTCTCTATTGAGTCCCAGCTTGTCTATATATCAGTTACAAAAACCAGAGAAAAGCATACTGATTGGCCTGAACCAGTAGAATAAAGTTGCCAGAGACTGCAGTGTCCTTCCAGAATTGCACAATCCCGGGTGAGCCCCCAAAATACTGTGTCCTCGAGTTGTGCCAATAATGTAGACTAGACCACCAAAGTCTACTAACAAGAAGGAAGCTTTATTCCAAACACCCTGGGGTATCAAAAACTTCTAGCTAGCTAGGGCCACAGGCAGAATTTGGGCTTCTGACACTGTGACTCCAAGGGGAGGCTACAAGCCTCTTATAGCAAAAACCACAAGACAGGTGGTGAGTCAAAGGAAGTTTTACAATCTTGAGTTTAGGCCTTGGGTCACATTTTCTGAGATTCACACTTTTTTTTTTTTTTTTTTGAGACAGGGTTTCTCTGTATATCTCTGGCTGAACTGGGATTCACTCTGTAGACCAGGCTGGCCTCGAACTCACCGCTGAGATTCATAACTTTTGATTACAGGTGTTAGTTCAAAATCTTTGCAAAAGCCTGTGGCTATCTTGACACAGCTGCTTTCCTCCCATAGCCAGAAGGGGTGTAGGGCGGTGAGTCACAGAGGGGTTAAAGGCTAACTTCTGTACACAGCAGCTGTGGGCTCCAGTTCTAGGATATGTGTATAGGCTAGAGGCACACAGGTTTTCGTGTTTCTGGGTTCTTCAGTTGCAAACAAATGCCTTGCAGCAGAAAGGTGAAGAACCAAAGATTCTTGCTTAAATACTGATGGAGTTTTAAAAAAAAAATTTTAGCGAAGGAGGTAATTTATAGAAAAGCAAACATATTGACTCAGTTTATTTTAAAAATGAAAAGCTAAAGATAAAGTATTACAACATATAGTTGGTGTCTTAGTTAGGGTTACTATGGCTGTGATGAAAACACCATGACCAAAAGCAACTCAGGGAGGAAAGGGCTTATTTCACCCAGTGCCGTACAACAAACAGTTCATCACTGAAGAAAGTCAGGAGAGGAACTCAAATAGGGCAGGGACCTGGAGACAGACGCTGAGGCAGAGGCCATGGAGGAGTGTTGCTTACCGGCTTGCTCCTCTGGCTTGTTCAGCCTGCTTTCTTATAGAACCTAGAACCACTAGCCCAGGGATAGTATCACCCACAAGGGCTTGCCTTATCCCACCAATCACTAAGAAAATGCCCTGTAACTGGATCTTATGGAAGCCTTTTGTCAATCAAGGTTCCCTCCTTTGGGATAACTTTAGCTTGTGTCAAGTTGGCATAAAACTAATGAGCACAGTTGGTAAACTCTAGAAGAAAAGCATGGACACACTATGAAGTATTCCACACAGTTTCCGGGGGGAGTTTGGGCTAGCTACTTCCTGGATAGCAGGTCTGTTTTGTGGAGGAGGTAAAACTGGCTCAGGGCTGTCTGGAGGCTCATCTGTTAGTCTCAGCTCTTGGTACTCAGTGTGCATAAGTGAGAACAGTAATCCATTAAATGAGTCTTGGGGTTTCTCTGCAGATATCTTAGTTTGTTTTGCTATAGTGAAACTGCCAAGTGGGTGACTTTAACATTGTGAAGTGCACAATCAGCGTGCTGCAGGCTCCACTGTCTGGAGTAGGCCACTTCCTGGTTCATAGATGACAGTGTCTCACTGTGAATAGGGTAGGGAGTTTCTGACATAAGAGCACTAATGCTGTCCAGAAGGGTTCCATCCTTATGACCTAATCACTTCCCAAAGCCCCACACCGACAGCTAAAGTATGAACTTGGGTGGGGACACAGGCACTCAGTCCATCAAGATAGGTTTTCCTCTCTGGTAGCTCCCAAGCTTTCTCCTTTAAGGGAAGCAGAAAGCAGCCCATCTGGTCACAGTGGGAGGTCACAATCCAGGCCTATCAGGAGTTTTTACTTCCAAATTTACCCTTGTTAGTTGCTCAGTGGTTTCAGAACCCATGGAGGGGAGGCTAGTGACTGAGAACAAGGACAGAATCCTTATATTTTCATGAGTACCAGAGACTCAAAATGTCTCCTCAGTGAGATTCTGGAGAAGTTGATGTCCAGGGACCATTCAAAGATGATGAAGCTAGTGGCAATAACCATGATTTCCTGCAGATGTGTGTTCTGATTGCTTCTGACCAGGGCACAGGCCAATCCTTAATGTAGCCAGTGTAAAGTGGGTTGTAGCATTATGGTCACATAAGTCACATAAACAATGATTTTTTTTTTTAAGGAAGCAGAAGGAAGCTTTGCTTTAAGAAAACATGTGCAAAGTAGATAAAGAGGTGTAAATTTCATTCATCCATAAAATATATACTGCCTTCACCATGATGCTAAAAAATTCCTTACCTATTAAATAAAGATAACGATTCTTACACATCTGTAGTCATTATGAAAACCAAGAAAAAGAATGTGTATAAAAAATGAATCTGGATGTTATAGTATACTGTGTGGTCACAGCCTGCCAGCAACAAAGGCGAGAGGACTGTCATGGAATGGAGGCCATCCTGGTCTATAAGCCAAGTCCAGGACAGCCAGAGGTATACAGAGGGACCCTGTATGAAAACAGACAGACAGATATGTAGCTGCAGTAAGTGTTCAAATTGTAGTTGTTGATATTTTTATAACTTCTAATTCAATACTGCTTTGGCAATACATTTGAGAACACCTTGGTTGGTGGATAAAGGTTTGTATGCTAATCATGATATGGATAACGAATCTGTGATTTCTTTTAAGTGGGAGCTAAGTAAAAGTTTTAATTACTTTTCTAGTGCATATTACTTACAGAACTTTAAAATACCACAAGAAGCAAACATGAGATTCACCCACAATCAAATGGCGTTCCTCTTCCTGGGTCTAAAAAGAATTGCAAAAGAGAAAAATAAGTTAAATTTGAGATATATACCAATAGGGATATAAGCCTGAGCATCACAGAAGAACTGTTACTTATCTAAGAGTAGAGAAAAGTAGATTTTAGACTAGAATTAATAACATACATACAGAAAGTATTCAATTCCTCAGCTTCTCTGTAGTTACTGGAATGAATGGCAAATTTTGGAGATGTCTGGCAACCTGCTATCATTATTATGTCTATCCTATTTTTCTCATGGATGTATGCTTCTACTCATCTTCTGGATCAGTGATTCTCAGCTGCCCAGGGGACAGGTTATGTTTGTCAATGTGTGGAAGTGGTTTGGGTTGTTCCGACTACCTTTTTTTTTTTTTTCTAAATCAGCAGACCCAGTGTCATTGGTTTGCATTCACACGTGCTTTCTTGAATTGAAGAAAGGGAAGTGGAATAAAAGATGGGTCTTCAGTTTGCTTTTGGTCCTGAGTATGGCCATTGGAATGTGTGACTTGAGACTTTGTAGGAGCCAACCATGATAAGCTTAATAGGAACAGACCACCCCAAGGAAGTTCTTAACTTCCAGCCATTATCACCTGCCAGTGTAGGACCCAGCCATGATGAGTTTAATGGAGGCCTGAGTCTCAGTACACTGAAGCAATACCTGGTGGCAGGAAGGACCACAAACTGAGATTACCCAGGCACTACCAAGAACAGACCATCCAAAGGAAATACCTAATGTTCCATCCATTGTAGATAGGATCACCTGCCAGCATGTACTCACCAGAACACCCCTAGACAAACATTAGCCAATCAGGGGGGCTGAACCTTAGAAATCCCTCACCCCCACCTTTACTACTATAAAAACCCAACTCTAACTGAGCTCGGGGCTTAGGGCTCTCTGATTATTCCAATATGTTGGACACATGGAGAGACCAAGTTTGCAAACTTGTATAAAATAAAGGCTCTTTGATTTTACATAAGGGACCCGGTCTCCTTCACGAATCTGGGCATAACAACCTATTCTTCTGAGAGCATCATTAACGGTCAGGATGCTGGCATGCTAAGTGATGAAAAGGCTAAATAGTAGGGTTGAGGTATTAGTTGAATGGCTCAGTACTTGCCAAGGATGCCCAAGGCCTTGGGTTCAATCTCCAGCATCATGAATGAATAAATGAATGAATGAACACATACAAAGAAAGGAAACTGAAGTAAAAATTAGATATAATTTCACAATTTATACTCTGATATGAAAAATGACAGACTGACAGTAATTTCAAAATGTTGGCTGAGAGCCAGGCGATGGTGGTGCACGCCTTTAATCCCAGCACTCTGGAGGCAGAGGCAGGCAGATTTCTGTGAGTTCGAGACCAGCCTGGTCTACAGAGCTAGTTCCAGGACAGGCTCCAAAACCACAGAGAAACCCTGTCTTGAAAAACCAAAAAAAAAAAAAAAAAAATGTTGGCTGAGGTCGCTTATTCTTCCCAGCTGCCTGGCTAATTTAGACCCGAAATAATCACACAGAAACCATATTATTTAAATCACTGCTTGGCCCATTAGCTCTAGCTTCTTATTGGCGCACTCCTACATATTAATTTGATCCATTTCTATTAATCTGTGTATCGCCACATGACTGTGGCTTACCGGGTTAAGCTCCCAGCGTCTGTCTCCAGTGGCTCCATGGCTTTTCTCTGACTCTGTCCTTCTTTCTCTCAGCATTCAGCTTAGTTTTCCCTGCCTAGCTAAGTTCTGCCCTGCTATAGGTCCGAAGCAGTTTATTTATTAACCAATAAAAGCAACACATAGACAGAAGGACCTCCTCCCACACCATCAAAATAGCTCTAATTTGTAGTTATGACTAAAATTATTTAAGACAATTTGTATTGGAAAGGCCAAATGAGAATGTAACAGTGATTATTTTTCAAAGTTCAATAAAACATCACTAAAATCAACTTACTTGGCCTCCGACATTTGGTTTTATGGTATGGACGCCAGGTGTAGCACAATGTAACAGTGTTGTGGGAGAGCTAGTATTCAGAAAGAACAGAAAAGAGGAAATCATTACAAATGTATTTGAGCCTGATTAAAAATCCACCCGTGCTGGGCAGTGGTGGTAAACGTCTTTAATCCCAGCATTGGGATGTAGAGGCAGGTGGATCTCTGTGAGTTTGAGGCCAGACCAGACTAGTTTATAGAGCAGGACAGCTAGAGCTGTTACACAGTGAAACCTTGTTTCAAAAAAACCAAACTAGCAAACAAAAAATCCACCCACACACAACCTTTTTTTTTTTTTTTTTTTTTTTTTTTTGGTTTTTTT